ATTTGCTAGGGGATAATCAAATGGTGAATATGCGATTCGATCCAATAATTGCAATATCCGACAGCTCTGTAATTACGTATGTACATAAACCTCTAAATGGACGAACCTTGTTCAAACAAATTTTTGACGTCGTACACTCACGCGCTCACCCAGTCAGTCCACATTGGTCTGGTAATATTTATCTATGAGCTATGACATGGTCTCTGTGTTGTAAACAGATAGACACAGCAACTGCCGAATACCATAAAGTGTGAAATGGATGGCATTGTCCAAATATTCTTTTTGTTGGCACACATTTTGTGTTTGGCCCCCAGAGTATTTACTTGAAACAGTAAACGACGACGGTCGAAAGCCACTGGCAAACGTATATAATTTTCGTGAATTTATTTGAACAATGTTAACATGGTGAAGTAGAAATGGCTTGGACAGAATTCGTAGAAAATGCAAAAGTGAAATGAATAATTTGTTTCTTCTTGTTGAATACATTGTGATGCTCTTGCAACTTGCAACATTCGGTCGCTGATGAAATGAATGGATGAACATGTAAACGACTATTCTCTGAATAGACTGGACATTGAGATGGTCTCGTAGAGATACATACATTATATCGCTCCTTGCTTTTCTCTCTCTCGCGCTCGATGTTACATCATTTTACAAGTGAATAGTGAAACACAGTAAAGAGCTATTTCGGCGATTTTCGATCGTCGCCAGTCGTCGTTTATGGTTTGTAGTTGTTGTGCTTTTAATTCATCTCTCGTCTGAAATTCATGACATATTTTTCGGTGCATTCTACAGATAATAGTTTTCTATAGTAAAATAGCTTGTCATTTTTCATGCTTTGTTGTTGTTGGTATTATTTTTTATCTCGTCCATTGCGACGCTTCACAAGGTTATTTGTTCGCATACCAATGCATATTTTTTTTAAATGCATATTGCCTTGCCACTAAAAATGGCAGCAAATGGCAAATATGTCAATTTTAAATTCTGCTTGCTTTCGTCAACATTTTTTCAAAGTTTTTTTTTACTTTTCATTTTTCAATGGGTGTTCCGAAAAAAAGTTAAGCAAAATCGTGATGAAATGTAAAGGATAACACTTTTCCGACATTCTTTCGTACTCATGTTGGAGGTCTATTTAAAATCAGCACGCCACGCAAATTGTATCGAAATGAAGGCTGCTTTATAATATATGAATAGGGGATAATTGACTTGAACATATACACATACATGTACTAGCATTACACATTCACGAAGAATAAAGAAAATAACAAACTTAATCAAATTCCATAACAACAATAACAACAAGATGCTGAATAAATGCTGAAAATATTTTATAACAGCGTTGAATTGAGATATCAATTATTTATCAACGCAACCGTTCACTCTCTATTCATATTGTCTGAATGACTTTTATGCTCACCGAGCAAGTAGAGAAGTACACAAAAACCGTTCGCCGAACGAAACCCAGAGTGCCATGTGAGAGTTGCACACTATTTGCCAAACACTTGAAATGGTATGCACGTACAAAAATGCTTTTTTATTCATAAAAAAAAATGCTTCATACGAACAACGCAGGATATTAAAAAAATGAACTGACTGAAAAATGTCAGAAGAATCTTAGTGCTTGCGCCAGACATGTTTGGTAAAATCGCAAAAAAATTAAATGTTCTATATATTTAAAACAGTGCTTGAAAATGGCAAACGATTTCCAATGAAAAATGAATCAAATTTTTGTATCGAGAAGAAAAAAAAGTTCAAAATAATGTCGAATTGATCCGAATGTCTCCATTTCGTTGAACGGCATCCGATTTTCTTTATACCAAAATCGACCTCATTTATGTGATGAAATGTATGCGAGCTATTACTAGATTTTCATTGAGATCATTTCGGATTTATTTATTTTTCAATCTTTCGATTCATAAAAGTGAAATGAATAAAGTTTCATTTGCGTTTTCATTGAATTTAAAAATCATGTTAATATTTCTATTGTTCATTCTGTTTGCGATGCATGTTGATGCTCAAGTGCACTGTGAATTTCAATACTGTATTCATTCGAAAATTTCCCATTGGAATTGCATTTATCTTCAGTCATTTATGCACGCAAGAAAATTATATGTTTTCTTCTAGTTTAAATAATGTTATCATTTGGTTCACAAAATGGTTTTAATGAATTTCTCCAGGATTTAATTTGCTTTTGTATGACCTCTTGAATTGTTGATCAAATGAATCATTAAAAGTTAAAGTAATTACATATTTTCACACTGAAAAGGTCTTCTCACTATGAAAAATTTAAGAGCGAATAATTCAATTTACACTTTTCATTACATTAATATTTCATAAGCTCATCTCTTATTTTAAGAGTTGCACGTGGATAAGTCGAAATGCTCCATATTTCATCATCGATTTCTTTTCGTATATCTTCTGTCACATCTTTTGGATGAAGAATCCATTTATTTTGATGTTCATCCAATTTTCTGGTCTCGATTGAAACTCTTCAATAGTTTTGAAGGGCTTTCTTCTTGTTTCTTCATTCATTTTGTTTTCAAACGAATAAAAAAAATCGAGGAAAAAATATTAATGAGAGAATGTTCCGCTTCCATTGGGAATTTATCAATAAATGTTATCGAAGTAACGTAATGTAATTCAATTTTTAAGCATAATAGAACAAAAAGAATAATCCAACCAAAACTTTATTAATATTACCACGTTACCAACGCGCCATAAACTTTATATATTCAATATGGATGGGAATTTTCAGCATAAAAACCATTTATTGTATGAAAGAGCAATGTTGACCATTGGCATTAATTAAATTTTTGACCGCTGGCGTTTATTGAAACAATTTGCACAAACTTGCAGTCGTATTTGGTTTCATTTGCTAGAATTTTTATTTCCGGGCACAAATATCCGGGCAATAACTATTGCAACAATCTCACTCTGAAAATATTTTCAGCCGATGCCATTTACAGATTATTATTTGTATATCTTTGGATCATGGTCTTTTTACATTTTGAACAAAAATTGTATTGTTCATTGAAAATGATTCAGATGTTTATGTTAAATATTTATGTTACACGATTATTATTCGCATTATGCGCTCAGGCTTTTCAGGTAATACATTTTTTTGTTTTCATTTGAAAGATGGAATGTTGACCGGAATTCCTCGAATATATTAAAATAAGAGAAACACATTCTTCACATCGTTATTTTATAGCCAATTTATTTTTATCAAACATTTTAATGGAGATATTTTCACTGAGCTTTAGTATCTTGCCTGACCTCAACTGCTTGTGCAATGTGCAACGTACATTGAGATTAAAAGAATGTAGTTTGGCCTTCAGTCCATCCCAGAGATTGTAACCACCTTGTCATCACCTGAGCTAGATCTGAAAATATTCCGGTCGGGCCCGAATATTCAGATTTTTCGAATTGGACTCCATCCAGGTCATTTGCGAAATAAATCATGTTCAAATTTTGCATTAAAATTCGAAATAAGGTACCACTTGCAGCTGAGTTCAATTGAATGCCAAATTCGAGTATCACTTACAGTCGGCTTTCAACGCGACTCGATTTAAGAAGCGCCATCTCTTTCACGCCAGCTTCTCATATATTTTTTTCTTTCAAAATTGTATAAATTGAATAAGTTTTGCAATAATAATAACGAAAATAATTAATAGAATTTATAATAAATAAAAAAAATTGAAAAAACACAAAAATATTTTATATTATATGATTCACCAGAATAGCTTCACTTCGTGTTGTTTACGTTGTTTCTTTTGACAGGTATGAATGTTTGACAAATACATATTTTCTCCACGTAACCATCTCTACATGGTCTACAAGGAAAAGTCTACAAGGCAAAGCTACATATCATATAATATAAAATATTTGTGTGTTTTTTTCAATTTTTTTTATTTATTATAAATTCTATTAATTATTTTCGTTATTATTATTGCAAAACTTATTCAATTTATACAATTTTGCAATTTTATGTGCAAGAAAAAAATATATTAGAACCTGGCGTGAAAGAGATGGCGCTTCTTAAATCGAGTCGCGTTCAAATACATTGTCAATATACAACGCAAGTGATACTCGGCCAAATTACAGTGGGCTGAAAATATCTCAGTACAATCTTTATTACATTTATTTAATAATATAGATTATTGAAATTTTCTATCGAATGTTTGTGCTCATTAAAATATGATGTTATGTTTGTTGAGTTTGAATACATGCACCATATGGATTAGTGGTTATCAAAATATCAATCAAATGTAAAATTGCGTTAGAGTAAACATATGTTGGATTTATGAATTCATCAATATATTGCCAACGTACTGTTTATCAAAATGAATATCAAAAGCGTAATTTTTTTAATAAAGGTATGCCGTTCGTTTGTTGTCATGGTGAAAGATATGTGTCATAGCTGAATAGATGGAAAATAGATAAATCGAATCCACTTGAAAAGTTTTATTTGGTAGCGGTATTATTGAATTATCCACGTTTGTGTACTATTTGAACACATATTGATTTTATCGAGTCAAAAAGTGCATCGCAAGGCTTGCGAATATGATTTTCTGAAATCCCTTTTATCTCATTCCGATTTTCTGTTTGCTGTATACAAACAATTTAATTTTCCATAGATCTCTATAGTCACTGAAAGTTTGTTGAATATCATCTTCACTCCGGTTTTTGGCAATGTTGACTTCAAAAATAGAAAATCATATGATGGTTTTTCAACCACAAATTACATTACCGGGATTAAATTGATTACACTTCAAGCGAAACTATCAACAGCTGTTTGTTTGAATTTCTAATCAAACCATTCGAGCAAAAACTTTGTCAATCATATTTCATCGATGTTGATGAAGTATTTTTTTCTGCTTGTTTATATATCACAAAACCGATTATTTATTATTGCAAAATGAAAAAGAATTTACTGATGTGCGTATATATATATGTGCGACTGTGTGTCTAAAATTGAATTTATCTGGTTATATTTGCAGAAACCCCATTATGGCTCCTGCTTCAGGTGGCACCGATACGTAACGAAAGTAATTTGGTTGTGCTGCTGTTGCTAACATTTCGTGATATAACTGCCTTCAAGCAGATTGATGCCGAAGATACAAAAAGTGGTAATTTCCGATTCGACATTTGGCCACAATTGATACATAAATGATTGTAACCCACTCTCTCTCTCTCTCTCTGATTCATATTTATGTGCGTGTTCATATTTGCTCCGGTTGCTGCCATCACAGGTTTATCAAAATTCGCAAAATTGGCACGCTCGGTAACACGAAGTCGACAGTTTAGTTCACACGTTCCAAATCTAAAGGACCCATCAAAACAATCGAATTTGGCACAAGTGAGTATAAACCAATTTCCCATCGATGGAAATAATCGGTTTGGTTTTCCAATTGTTTCTTCAAAAATTACTTTCTTTTTTATTGTGTATTTTCATTAAATTTTCTGCAGATGATGTCATTAACCGCTGATGCTGTAATGCCACAATATCGACAAGAAGCACCAAAAACACCGCCACATATTTTATTGCACTATTGTGCATTCAAAGCAATTTGGGATTGGGTGATACTTTGCTTAACTTTTTATACCGCCATCATGGTAACATCAAATGAATCATTTTGTTCGTGCGCACCATTCATTATTTTCATTTCGTTTCAAATTTCAGGTACCATATAATGTAGCCTTTAAAAATAAAACCTCAGAGGATGTTTCACTATTAGTAGTTGATTCTATTGTAGATGTAATTTTCTTCATAGATATTGGTAAGTGTTATTTTCAATGTGCTAATTTCAACAATAAAGAAAAAGAGTCAACATCATTTTACTTGTTGCATTTTGATTGGTTTTCACATAGTTTTGAACTTTCACACAACGTTTGTTGGTCCGGGCGGTGAGGTTGTTAGTGATCCAAAAGTAATACGAATGAACTATCTAAAGTCTTGGTTTATCATTGATTTGCTCAGCTGTTTGCCTTATGATGTTTTCAATGCTTTTGACCATGATGAAGATGTAAGTTTTACTGGGTTCACCATCGAATCACAATATATATAATCTCGCATCAAATAAAACACACAAAATCAAATCAAATATAAATTCAATTTACTTTCATCGTGTCTATACAGGGAATTGGCTCTTTGTTCAGTGCACTTAAAGTAGTTCGATTGCTTCGCTTAGGTCGTGTTGTACGAAAATTGGATAGATATTTGGAATATGGGGCAGCAATGTTAATATTACTATTGTGTTTCTACATGTTGGTCGCTCATTGGTTGGCATGCATCTGGTATTCAATCGGACGAAGCGATGCCGAGAATGGCGTAAGTAAAATTGTCAAAATGATTTTCGTATTCGTATGCATATGTAGATAGATTTGTAATTTGCGAAACGCAACACCTCAGGGAAAACTTGCGCCATGTCTTTCTCTCTCTATTTCACTCCTGCGTGTTGTATGTTGTATATATTGTACCTGAATTGTTTGCTTCGTTGTTGGATTATACACAGTCTCGAGATAGGTCAAGCCAATATATTCTCGAATTATCAGCAACGAACAATAAGCCATTCCGAAATGCTTAACAATATGTTTCATCTATTTTTTGCCACGTTTAATTATAATAGGCATGTTTTTCCTCTCTTGTTTGAAAAAAAAATACAGGTCCAATACAGCTGGCTATGGAAATTGGCAAATGTGACGCAAAGTCCATACTCATACGTTTGGTTGAATGACACAAATACACCCGAGATCATCAACGGGCCCAGCAAAAAAACAATGTACGTGACTGCGCTCTACTTCACAATGACATGTATGACGGTAAGTAACCTCTTTCACTTGAACTCACTTCAAACTTGCAAAAAACAATGAACGTGGAAGCACTTTTTTTTTCGCTTCGCATTTAGCCACACACACACACATTCCATTAATCATGATTTCTCTTTCTCTCTCTCTTTCTCTTTTCTATTTCTCTCGCTATTTATTTATTGGCCACTTGCACACCGGATTACAACAACAACAAAAAACAGTCGGTATGTATTACAAATTTAGTATTGTGTTTGTAAATGAAAGCAGAAACTCAATTAATTTGAATTGATTCAATTTCCCTGTGAAAGAACAAACAAAACTAAACATTTAAATGCTAAACTACACAACTCACCAACAACAACGACAAAAAAAAATAAGTCTTTGACAACAAAAACTGTATATACTGGTGGAATAACCAAACACGATTTGCGTCGCGTCGTGTTGTTATTCCATTTCGGTTTTGTTTTCATTTTATCCCGTACATCGAGTTTACCTCTTCATATGTCCCGTTTGAAAGCTCGCTTTTTTTTCGTTCACAATATCATATTTGTTGTGTATTTGTTGTATTCCATTCGATGACGTAGATTTATGTATCATATTCCACCAGCATTTGTACAAAATGCTCACATGAAATATTGTTCAAATTCTTAGGTTGGATTTGGCAATGTTGCAGCTGAAACCGATAACGAACGCGTGTTTACCATTTGTATGATGATCATTGCAGGTATATTTTGAAAATTAATTTGTATTTAGTAAAATACGATTTATTCCCTCGTATGCCCCACCATTCAGCCTTCCCGTTCCACATCAATAAATAAATTTTATGTTACGTCTTTTGATAAAGTTGTTTCCATCGAATTGACAAAAACGATACAAAGAGTTTTGTACAAAATGTCTTTTAACTAAACTTAAGTAATTACCGTAAATACTGTTTTGTGACTCAATAAATCGAAACATATATTTCAAGTATATTTCTTACAAAGGCATTTTTGCCACAGGCCACAAATTACAACAATTACAAAAGAGATAGAGAGAGTTTCTCAACAAATCGATCTGAATAAAACTAAAGAAATGTATGGTATATAATCAGCAAATGATGAATATACTTGAGACAGAGTTTGTGAAACGTGATCTAGTTCTTAGTCAATATGTGTGCTTACTTTGTGTACGTGACCAACTTCCCCATTGACATGAAAACAGAGAAAATAAAAGGATTAGCCCAAAAATGATCAAAATTAAGATGATTAATGACCTACCCTTGTACCGATTAGTCAAAATACACATTTTAAAAAAACTGTAGAGAAATAAACATATTTTCTTTGGTTGCATTTTAAGAAAATCCGGATCAATTGACAAATTTAGAAAAATTAATCAAAATTCCAAATTTCCTCAGCTTTGCTCTACGCCACAATTTTCGGTCATGTGACAACAATCATTCAGGTACTTGTTGAAACTTAAAAACAAAAACATCAACCAAAATTCATTATTATTTCTTCTTTTTTTTCAAAATTCGATAATTTTTCAATCAATTTAAAAACAATGAAAACAAAAAATTATGTTATTAAAACAACCAGCAAATGACATCTGCGACCGCAAAATACCATGATATGCTCAATAATGTGCGTGAATTTATGAAATTACACGAGGTTCCAAAAGCGTTAAGTGAACGTGTTATGGATTATGTTGTTTCAACGTGGGCAATGACAAAAGGATTGGACACGGAAAAGGTGGTAAATTTGCAGGCTTTGCAAAATCTTTTCGCTTTCTGTTCATATTTTATCGAAAATGCGTAATGCGATTCTAATTTAATTGAACGTTTGTTTCCAGGTGTTGACCTATTGTCCGAAAGATATGAAGGCCGACATTTGTGTGCATCTGAATCGAAAGGTGTTCAATGAGCACCCGGCATTTAGGTTGGCGTCTGATGGGTGTTTGCGTGCTCTGGCAATGGACTTTACAATGTCACATTCGGCACCCGGTGACCTTTTATATCATACTGGTGAAAGTATTGACAGTTTATGTTTCATCGTGACCGGATCGTTAGAAGTAATTCAAGACGATGAAGTTGTGGCCATTTTAAGTAAGATTCATACAAAAACAATATTGACCAAAGCAACATTCACATAATTAATCAATTTGTTATTGAATAGGCAAAGGTGATGTGTTTGGTGACCAATTTTGGAAGAATCAAGTTGTTGGACAAAGTGCAGCAAATGTACGGGCGTTAACATATTGTGATTTGCATGCAATCAAACGCGACAAATTACTCGAAGTGTTGTCATTTTACAAGTCATTTGCGTTAAGTTTTTCACGAAATTTAACACTAACTTATAATCTACGTCATCGCCAAGTGTTTCGTAAAGTGGCCGATGTGAAACGGGAAAATGAATTGGCCGATCGAACAAAAGACGAACCAGTCGCACCCAATCAAGATCATATCGTACGAAAACTTTTCTCCAAATTTCGTCGACAACCAACAACGCAAGGTTCACGTGACAGTGCATCACAAAGTGATGCCGAAAAAGGCGAAACACAAACTGAACGAACGAAAGTAAGTCCTCAACAAATTTAATAATAGTTGAATTTTCAATTTTAGAGAAAAAAAATACACAACATACGTTAGAGAAAATGCTTCTAGTGCTTCATATTTATGGAATGAATATTATTCAATATTGTTTATGTGGAATGTCTCTTTAGAATGTTTAGATTTCTATGTTTTGATATATAAATAATATAAAATACGTACAAGAAGACAGCCATATTCTTACCGATAAATCAGTGTCATTTCGTATCGATTATTCATTTAAAATTCGGTTTCTTTTCTATTCTTTTTCGTTTTACATTTATTTTTCTTTTATTCTTTCATTCTATTCTATTTTTTTTATGATTTTAGCTTCCCGCCAAATTAACACTCACAGAAGATTCACGTATCATAAGTTCAGCTCCATCACCATGTCCATCTCCATCACCAGCGACCACATCAGGACCACCGTCGGCACGTGGTGCAGGCGCAAGTAAATGGGGCCGAATATTAGGTAGTTCTAGTGTTGATTCGGCTAGTGATACATGTACAAAAATAGCTGTGTCGAGAAGTCTGAGTGCAAGAGAAAGTTTGCGTGACACAGCCGGCCAAGGCAAACAATCTAGTAGTTCGAGTAGTAATGGCGGCCAAGGAAACAAAGTAACGTAGATTTGTTTTCTTTCTGTTTTCAATTTTGATTATTTTATTTACATCTTAATTTGCATTAAAAATGGCAAAATTAGCAATAGACCCATAGTGTGGGTTTCATGAATTGTTGTACTTGACAATTTTATGCAATAAAAAAATGTCTCTGAATGAATTTAGGTATTTCCAAAGACGCAAAAATTGCAACCGTCTCCGGCCGCATTGGCAAGACAAGATACCATCGACGAAACAAATGAGGATTCGAAATCATTGCGAAGGCAAGCGCTCGAGCGGCAGGTTACCGAACGAGAAAGTTCAAGTGGGACACAACGTGATCAGCTCGAAAAAGCATCTTCCATCGAACGCGAAACGATGTCCGAAACATATGATAATGGTTTACGTGAACAATCTAGTACATTAGCCCAACGTGACTTAATCGCAACGGTACTTGATATGAGAGTCGATTCACGACTTGAAATGCAAAATATGTCCAAGCGCATCGGTCGACTAGAGGATCTTCTCACCGAATTAATTAAAAGATTAACAAATGATTCATCTGATTTGAGTACACCGGCCGATGAAAATATTCCAATGATAACAACAACATTCATTGGCTCACCAACGACAGGCTCAACATCACAATCTACTAATATTATCGTAACAAGTACTGCCAGCACATCAGCGTCATGTGGCATTCCAGCGCCGCCGCCACCATCATCATCATCATCTCCAGGTATAAACATTTGATTCGAATATAAAACCAAAACCGAATCCATTTGGTAATTGTTTTTTTTTTTTGCTTTTTGTCAGTAGGTCTTGGACCATTGTTGTTAAGAAAACGACGTTCAAAAAGTCGTCGAGCACCGGCACCACCAACACGGTCAGTAACTAGTCCGGCGTGTCCTGAACAAGCTCGACTACTCGACGAAGCTGAAGCAACCGCAAGCACTTCAACACCAACATCAACATCGGCAGCAGGTAGTCAAAAATAGCTTTAGCTCTCTTTTTTCTAAACAAAGAAACCGTTAATTCCAATGACGGTTATTGTATTTATTTTAGCGCGGAGACGTGATTTTCTCTAGCCAAAAATTTTGATACGTCATCAAACGGATCAAGATCAAAGTGATCATTAATGCATTTACCATAAAAGAATGGATTAAATGCAGCCAGTTTGCTTGACGTATATACATCAAGAATATACAACTCAATCGATTTTGGAGAAGAAGCGATACCAATGACGGTCCTACATTTAACTATTGTATTTAAAATTGAAATGCAAGTGATTTGTATCATATGTTATATGTTAAATTCATGTGCAATCGACTCATTGTTTTATGTCCACTCACACATACACACACACACACACATAACATAAACCTTTTGGAGCAAGTGCATAGAAACATCACAGAACACGTATTCATTATTACCTCTTCCTTTTCACGTCAAAAAAACTGACGTCTAAAATCAATATTCATTTGTATTTAAACTGAGAAGAGATGTGTCTCATAGTCATCGGTTTTTATGCATATGTGCAAAAAAGCATGCATTATAGCTGCTATTCACAATTGATTAAGCAAACCATTGTTTCGATAAAATACAATCACACCAACAAATTATTCATCAAATTCGTACTAATAACACAAAACTGTTTTCGATAGAATAATTGAGAGCAAGCAAACAAACTTGCAACTAATTACAAAAATGCTACTAGCATCGCAAAAAAACCAACAATTATTACATGAACAAAAAAACACGTATTAGGCAATAAGTATTAGTTAATATATTGTGTATTCAGAGAATGAAAAAAAATATATTCGCGCTGACTTCTAACTTTGACTATCATATACCATTATCATCAACATCACACATACATTTCAAATCAATTCAAGCGAGCTTTTCCAACAAACTTAACGACATAAATTAAGATTAATGAAAAGAGATATGGAATTGAATAAAATTAAATGTCCTTTTTTGTCGATTGAAAAAATAAGAGAAGACTACACACACACACTAAACACTAAAGGCGTAAGGATAAGAGAAGATACTTCACATTGTCGAGATCGAGATTTCGAACTTCAGCTTACCTATTCGCATGCAAGGTGATGAACATCTTGACACATTTCTAACAAGCAATAACTATATTTCTTATTAATATATTTCTTATTGAATCTAAGAAACATTTGGCCTTTTTAGCCTATTTAATTTTCACATGCTAGCCATCAAACAACCAAATTGATTGGCACACACTTGCAAATCTAATCTATCGTCATGTATAGTGAGAATTATGATGTAAATTCTATTAGAACATTGGCGCTGTAGTAACTAGAGATTGACATTTGCATTTCGAAATTAGCACAATTTCTTCATAAAAGAAATCTCAATCAAAAATAATTAATATTAAACGACCAAAGCAAATGAAATCGAAAGCGATAAGATACAAGAAATTGCATATATATTTTGAATTTGTGCATTTTTTTTGTGAACGAAATTAATGTTTGTTTTTCTTTTGTCGTTGTAAACATTTTTTGGTTTGTCGGCCACAACATAGAATCGATCTGAACAACTTAAATTGATTAAAATGTGACACACACACACACAAAATGCACTGAGATAGAATGAAATCTAAAGAAACAGGTTGTATAAATAAGTCATAGAAAACGAGCCAATGAAAACAATTTTCAATAAATTGGAAAATTGTTTAATCAATCGATCGACATCGGTGTGTATGTCGTATCGTGCACATCAAAAAAAAATATTTGTAAATAAAATGGATAAAATTCATACTAAATAAGCTGTTACTAACAATAAATTTTATCTATAGAAAAAAACGGTGAACATTTCACATCAAAAGACAAACAAACACTAAATAAGCTTTAGTCAATATAACTAATGTTGATTTCATCAGTTTCATTTCTTCTTATTTTTCGGTTAAATACACTATATTTTTTACTGTTTTTGCGTTCAAATATTATTCCTGTAGAGTGATAAAACTGCTGAATAATCTATCAGCGAAAATGAGAAGAAGAGTAAACAAAGCGTGATATTAGAAAATTTGGTTTATAAGTTGCAATTAAATTTATTCAACGAAGAAAAGTTTTGTGAACGAAAATGAAGTTTTAACGACTCGATTATTTACACACTGTATAATGATGCATCAGCAGTGTTTCGTTATCACATGATACATTGCGCCCAATGATATTGTTACGAGAACGGCTGTCTTTATGCCATAAGAAAACTACACAAAAAGTGTACTCATCATAAATTATGATTCATATGTGGTTTATTCCATTTTATCAAAATATTTGTTTTTTGTTATTATTATATTTGCGCGCACATCGCACATACTTTCAACAACAAATAAAAAACATCTATGTATTATTAAATATGTGTCTCGGTATAATAATAGTAATGACTTTGCGATGCATTCATGTGTGTCTATATCGTAAAGGAGTTTATAACATAAAAAAAATAATAAAACAGCGATATAAGGAGTACTAGTTTAGGATCTACATTTCCAAATTTTGTCGACGAAGTGATAAAAAAAAACACTCTTCCTCCAATATTATTACATCGCATATTCTAAAATCAAACTTTCGGCCAAAATGTTGGTTCTTTTTAAACGAAAAAAAAAGCAATAAATAATTTTCTAATTTAATGACAGACTCGCGCGATTTAATTTTTATTCTAAAAGGTAGTTGAATTGTAGAGAAGAATCACAAAAAAACAATAAATGGTAAACCATGTTCATTAAAATGATACGCCTTAAAAGTTAATCCAAAATTTGGCTTAATGCACTTCCCACCCACTTGCTTTGATTACCGACACCTCCATTATTATCACCACTACACACAGTCTGAATTGCTTTTACTCTCCATTTTTATGATGAACAACAACAACAATAACAAAAAAGAGGAATTTCTCGATCGAGCCACTTACATCGCATATTCTAATTTAAAGAAGATGAAAAAAAAACTGTCATTAGCTTGTTTCGTACTCATATCTAAAAATGGCTTTATAAATAAATTGTCGAAGGCATTTCCGACAAAAATTAAAATAGAAAATAAAAAATCTTGTTGAAGTGGCCGTCTCAATACATATTATATAAAAAAGAGTATTCAACATGAATTTGTCCGAATTTGTCATCCCGTTGTGGATTTGTTGAAAACACAGAAAAATATGTTTTATGTATATAATAAAATCGATTCACATTCATTCATACACTCACCAGCACATTCAATGAATGGCAATGAAGTCACATTTTTTGGCTTCAATCATCATTAATATTCATGTTGTTCATTCCAAATGTTTAAAATGCAATGTGAATTTTGAAAATGAAAATTAAAAAAAAAACTTTGTAAATAGCAATCAATTAATTCTATTAATAATAATAACAATGAAAAGAAGAAAACCCGACACGTTTAGATAAAAAAAAATATTTTTCCGTAGAATATATCACACCATAAGTTATTATACACTCACACACATTTCTTTTCGTATATATTTTGTTAATTCTCATCTATATATAGTTTATTATAATGAATTTTTAACTTGAATTATTTCAGCGAATGAAAAAATGTAATAATCCGCTTTTTTCTCAATTATGTTTAGATTAACTATTTATCGCAAAATTTTTATTCATACTTTTATCATACAACATGCATTGCCAACACGCAATTAGGAAAAGCCTTTGAAGCCAATTTAATCAAGACTTTATTTTCGATTTAAATTCATATTAATTCATGTTTAATTTGCGTAAAATTTTATGGCTTATGCAAAAAAAAACAAACCATTTTTAATTTCTTTAAATCAATTGTTTATTAGATTCCATGCTAAAACAAAATTTATGAAAAGAACAAAAAAAAAGACGAAAAACAACAAAAAAAGATAGAATTAAATAAAACGCAATTGATGAAATGAAAATATAGTCTTTCAATTCACTTCAAAAGCAAAATTGCAGGTGGAAATTTTTCAGTCAGCTGAAATGCAACAACGTTCGGACGAGTTTGGCCAAAATTTGGTGAACGAAACGTTGTTTAAAATATAGCAACTGAATTCATCCAAATCATCGTTCGTATCCTACCTTTGCGAGACACCCTGTACCAAAATACACTGGAAAAGCTTCAAAGTTCGAATCGCTTTGTATAAGTTTTCCATTTGACATATAGATGGCAGATGGTGCAAACATGTGAGTAAGCAATATAATTTTTTCTTTAAAAATGTGATAATATTTATATAATATTTTCATTCATATAAAAAATGAACTTAATTCAAAATAATATAAAATCCGTTTTTTTCCTCAAATGAGAAGGATGAAAACAAGCAATAATCAACATTTTCAAACGAACCTTCAAAGTGAATTCAAAGTAGCCCAATAAAATGTCAAAACTGAATCACTGACATTAACATGTACACGGGTGCGAGCCAAAAAGTGACGTCTACATTCATTAGTATGTTGAAAGTGACGTCTACATCCAGTCTTTACGAATGTGTACAATGTCAGCCTTTCGCTAAAAAAATTCTTCATTTCTTTTCACTGTTTTGTTGACTTTTCGTGTGTTTTACAAAACGAAAATTGATTAAATTTCAATCAAGTTGCTTCATCATTTCGATTTAATTTTCGATTGATCAACAAACGGCGCATCTATTTGCGATGGCATCTCGAGGTGGGCCAATGATAACGGGTACAGACGGTGCTGATTTTGAGCATCGACAACGGGTCGCTGCACATTACCAAATCAGGTGACTTTTGCTGTGAAATTAATTTCGAAATATCAAAACGAGTGATACAATTCAAATAGTGTGCGATGAAGAGAAAATGTGTGCATAACAAAAAAAGTACAGTGAATGATTGTCATATAATTTCATGCTTTCGCTTTTCACCGTAATATTGTGAGTGTGTGTTTCAAGGTTCTTTCAAGTCTACGACAATTCAATGTCAGTTATTCGTAAAATTTGCCTAGAATAGAAGTAATATGAAACCATTTCGACAAACGATCAATTAATGTATCAATAAAAAAAATGGTTTTGATGTGCGAGACGAGTGTCTGGGTGTATGTCGTGTCTGTGTATATGTTTAATGTTGGTGTCGAATTTTCGAATTTCGATTTCGATACACTATTTCTCTGTATATGCGTACAAAGTGTGCACCGTTTCTGGTTTATTTTTGTGTTACACTCAATCTATTGTTGTCGGATTTAAGTAGTGTCTAGGCGAATTATGATTTTGGTCCGTGTGCGCGTTCGAAATTGCAATGTATGTTTCATTGTTTAGTTGTGCGTGCTCTTTTTTTCTCTCTCTCTGTTGCATTTTTTTTCGTCTTCCTCATTTGCGTGTACTAATCACATCCGTTTTTTTCGTTTAATTTTCGTTAAAGTGCCCTAAACAAATCTCGGCTCAAATATTGCATATTCTTTCACTTTTTGCTCTTTTTCGCAATGCTAGCAAAATTGTCTGCAGACATTTTAGATCGTTTGGATATTTTCATATTGGAAATTGAGGAATTACAAGTGCCGGCACCGTTGTGGTGGGAATACATTTGGTGCACCTCGATATTGGTGTCATTCATTGGATTGTCAGCTGCCAAAGGCAATCGCGTCAATGATATGAAAAAATACATTATTGGTTTAATTGTTACCGCTTTACTGCCGCTTCTATATTGCGCGATTTACTATTTTCCGGACATTGTCGAGTACATGACCTTGGACGAACAGACTGACATTGAAGACACCAAGATTTTTGTGTGGCGGGTAAGATTTGTTTTTTTTTTTTTAATCAATATTCACTCGTCCTAATAATATTTCGAAATTTGTTTGTTCTCATTTAAGGGTAAACCATACGCATTGATCTGGTACGCATTTTTTTTGGTGGCCATACAAGTGCACGGCATGTCCATATTCTTTGCATGGAATTTAGTACAAGCCTGGCGATCACGAACCGCTTCACGAAAACTACAATAGACTCTTCAACGAAATATTAACTAACCTAAAACGCACTGCATAAAAAGAAAATTACTTAATTTATTTTGAATTGTGGAGTTTTGTTCAACGGAAATAAAAAAGAAAATATTGTTTAAAAAAATCATTGGTAATTTGTTTTTCAGTTGGTTGGCCTAAGAAAAATTTACGAAATAAATGTTGAACAACACAAAATGTACTTAAAGTGGAGACGGCCATTCGAACCAATTCATTTGAAACTGCGGTGCTTTCAGTGGAGACACCGAATCAATTCTGTTTTCTTTTTAAATAAAAAGCTTTTTCAGGTGGAAAATTCAAATTACAACACAGTGTCAAATATTCACTTTTACATTTGGATTTATTGGATTAAAATGCAGTTACATTGGATGAGTTTTATTAAATTTTATCTGTTTTTCCGATATTTTCAATTGTCAATAACACATTTTACAGAGATGTAAACTTTACACTCAGAATACTTAGCCTAGTTTTTGTTGTTGTTCTTTTGAAGTATTTCTCTTCATCCATTTCTCACTACGTGACCAATGGACTATTTAATTCACTATGACTCTTATTATTAAATGTTGATTATTTGTTAAAATCAATAAAATTTTCTTCTTTATTAAATTCCAACGTTCATTCACATCAATGTATTATTTTATTTTGTTAAGTATATTGTTAACATAGTATTACACTTAACAAAAAAACCATTTTCTTTTTTCATCATATTGAACAAGTTCAAGCATCGAAATGAAAATGATTTTAAACATCAGTCTTTCTTAAAGAAAAATCTTATTATTTATTTTCAACATAAATAATTTGAATGTGTGAAAATAGAAGAAAATAAATATTTATTAAATGCTCTTTTCCATTTTAAACTTGAAAAATAAATCCAATTATATATTGCCAATTGGACTTTAATTTTTTTCGCTAATCTTTCGACCTTTTTTTTTTAAATATGTACAATTCAAACGAAGGCAAAACCAAATGGTAATTCTATAGTTCTGATAATTTTCCTTGTTGATTTGATAACAAACTCTTCCTAAAAACCATGAAAATAATTTAATGGGATGCTTTTTATGCTATTTTAATCGAATGATTTTCGATCAAACATTTAGTATAACACACCGAAAGTATTTTAGATTGGGTATTTTATTCATCTGTTTTTTTTTTTTGGTTTGAACTTTAATATAAACATTGATTGAGTTTTTGAATCCAAAACAAATTATGTCATGGATTTGCGGTTGATTGATGATTTCGAAAATGGTTAATTTCCATATATTGCGAAATCTGTATAGGAAATATTTTGGTAATATTTCTATGAATTATGATAAAACAATTATGAAATGAAATTCGTAAATTTCTTCTCTCTCTCTCTCTCTCTTTCGCTATTCATTGGATACGCCATTTATGCTTTAATTGCAAATGCATAGACATATTATTTTTTTTGGTTGATTTTCCCTATAAATGCCAATAATATCCACTCCGTTTCGAAACTTGTGCTGAATTCAATTTTCAAAACTGCCGTAACAATCCATTGTAACGAAATGCAATAAATGTTCACCAAATATTTATGCCATTAAAATGTAAATTATTTTTAGGTAACGTATTTTGGTCCGCGCTTCAATGCATTGCATGCGCGCGTATCACTTTGAATAGAGAATGTTCTGAATCGCTGATAAATTATTATATATTTTGCACAATTCATTGAGAGTGGCTCATTCGTTGTAGACGATTCAATCGATTTACTTGTCATGTGATATAGTCAATCGACGTATGCTCAATTAATATTATGCTTGAATAGTAGTCCCGAAAGATATTGTAAATGCTAACGATGGTGGCCACAAGCAATGTGTGCATTATGTAATTTTTGTCAGCAAAATATGTTGATGTTCCCGTCTGCATTGCTTCCGGTCGCTCACCTAATCAGAAAATATTCAAAATACAATATATACAAATGTATTTAAGAGGGAAGGAGAGGGGGAGAGAGAGAGACAAAAGAGCAAATGTGACATGTGTCTCACCATGCAGAAAAACGTGGACTTTGATACTTGTATCGCTACCACCAGCTGGTGCACATCTATAAACACCACTATCAGCAATATTTGCATTTCGGATCAGCAAATATGATGTCGTCCATTCGCCATAGACTCGTTTTATATCGATGCCGCCCCTTGGTGACTCTGCAACAATTTCCTTTTGAAACGAAAAAAGAGAAACAAAACAGAAACGAAATTCATTAATACAGTTCGATGTCTAAACGTTAACCATAAGTTGATGAATTCAATAAAATATTCAATGAATTGTCGCATGGGAGTTACGAAATTAAAATAACGTATACTATTTGAACTATGTTAAAATAAATTTATGCACAGCATTAACACGAACCCTGTGTAATGCTCTTGAATGTTAATTCGAAGAGAATTCTCAGTGGATTTGTTGGATGCCACTATTGTAACGTATTTTCAGTTTGATGTTTGTGAACTCAATTAGAAAATTTGTAAGAGTTCCTTCTAATTTCGATCGATAGACAAAACGTTTTGAATCTAATTGATTTGGTTTCGTCACTGTGCTTTAATTGTGTGATAACAATTTTCAGTAAATCGAATTTGCACGTCGGTAGCACGTTTGAATGCTGGTGCCTGAAGGTTTGTTTTTCCAGCCTACCAACGATTCGATAGCAACGTTACGGAATTTAAGCAAGGGAAATACAACAACTATCAACGAATCATTTTGACTGAAAATAATTTTCGCATAGTTTTGTGCGAATTATACTGTAATTTCTTCATTTTTATTGAATGCGATTCGAATCAGCAAAATTCTATCGAAATTCGTATTCGTACCACTGATGTGTTGTGTGCAAGCACAGGATTATTTATTCACCGCTCTCAAATATATTTAAATAAGAATACATTTCGAAAAAAAAAATTATTTCACTGGAAAAACTGATTTCAAAATAAGGGCGATATGAATTGATATATTTAAATACCTATTCATAGAATTCCTATTCAATATTGAATGTCACCGATGACAGATGTTGCAAGATATAGTTCGATTTTCACTGAAACAATTTGAAAATTGTGTGAATTCATTCAATTTGAAATGTCGCCTGACACTAAAAAACATTTGTATCAGCTATGTAGCTGTGTTGCGATTTATCAATTGATTTTCCGTCAGCATCAAAAACATATCAATCGGATATGCGCAGTTCCAGTTAAAATTGAATTAAACAGTTGATAATTAAAGGTTTTTGTTTTTGAATCCAGTGAAAACTATTCAACAACAAATTTGCATGAAAATTCCCATTCACTGCGTCTGTCATCAACAGATTTTTGCCACCTACTTGTATTTTCTTTGAGTTTTGTAGGCAACTTAACAACTTTTCGTCAAATGTTGATTAATTTCCATTGCCGTTACATGCAATGAAATGCTTTTAATCAGAAAATTCATAGATTTGTACAATCATGCCCTATGATCTGACACTTAATATTGTAATGCGCCAACGTGTCGAAGCTGGGAAATTGTCGGATTTGTCTTGGCACATTTGGGTCTATTTTCATAACAAAGACAATGAAAGAAGGAGAAAATTTCGCTTAAAGGCGTTTCACTTAATGGAATTCTCTTCGTGTTATCATTTATGCTGAAAACATCAAAAGTCCTTTGTTAGACTTCCATTTCGATATTTAATTGCAACACTTCGTTGAAAATCGCGTCGTGTTGAAGAGCTGGTGTTTGTTGGCATCAAGTTGCATTTTAAAGCATGCATCTTTCCCTCTTTCTCTCGCTCGCACTCGCTCTCTTTGTCTATGTGTGCATGACATCACAACGCTGAATACATTTCAAAAGACAAACTGGAGCGCAGATAATTTATAACACATTTCCATGGTTCGTGGCAAAGCATCAAAGCCAGATTAAATTATAAATTGAATATCACGCAATGTTATTTAATACATTTTGATATTATTTGCTGTCGTTTCTTTTACCATTTTCAGCAGCAATAGCATTATTTATTCCCATCAGCACTGTGAAATTGAGTGTGAGTGTGGGTGTGTGTGTGTATGTGTGAGAGAGAGACGGAGATGCTGTCGAGGATAAATCTATCAATTTGCCGACAAACAATATCTCCTTCGTCGACACGACTCTCCGTACAGTTTGTCTCAAGTATGTATAGAGCATTACAACGGCAGCATTACGCGAAAAGCTTCAAAACAAAACAAAAAAAAAACGTATCACAAAAGCCCATGCACAATGCAAAATAAATAAGCACAACGAGTTGTTGCAACAGCAAAAACCATACGGAAAAATAATGGCAGTTCATTTGATATTTTTTGTTCGTTTGGTGTGTGCTCGAGTAAAAGAGACGCGAAAAGTGTCTTTGCATTTCTATCTCGATCTCGTCACATTTGAAAATCGTAATAGATGTATTTGTTTTGTTTTTTTTTTGTTTGTTTGCCATTCATCGAATATCGTTACAACAAAGAATGGATAAAAAAGTGAAGGAAAAACATTGTAGAATGAAGCAACGGCGGCAGCGGTTTGTTGGTTCATTTCTTTAGAGTGGAAATCCTGACTTGCAGCGGAAAAAAACATTTCCACCATGTCAAAGTGAAAAAGAGAAATAGATTGTCGAGGAAACAAGCGAAAGCGAAGCGGATTCGTTGGAATTCAGAAGAGAGACAGAGAAAAGGAATTGAAAACTCTGTTAGTAATAACCATGAAATGCGATAAAAGTGTCCGAAGTGTACAGAGACTCAGTGAAACTGTGAACATTTCTCGTTCACTCTCTTTTTTCTTTCTGAGAGTGTATACATATATTGTTGTAAATACATTGAAGTTGCATTTGTAGTGCAAATACAATTGTGGCAGGCGATTTGAAATCGACTGTAAACATAAGATTTTGATTGCATGCCATAAATTGAAGAAAAGGTTGAATCTCTTTTGCGTTCGCGCTTACATTCTTTCTCAATATATATATCCATTGCAGCTGTTGTGGGCGATGCAATCAAGCCGATACTCGTTGTTGAAAATGCACGGCATTTGAATGCACCGCAGAAAATGGGAAATTCCCATTCACATTAAGTATCTTGACGTTATAAACAACTTGATGTTATGTAATAATGAACTTAAAACGCACATGGAAGCAAGTGCTGTGTGTGCGCGTGCGGTTGCGCTCATCAGAATGCTGAAGAAAGACTGCTATGCCAAGAGCGTGAGAAAAACGGGATCCTCTCAGTGTCTTTTCAGATTTAAATGGTCGACATGCTACAACTATGTATGTTTGGAGTACGTAACGGGCGATCAAAGTGGCAACAAAGTATCAACTTAGTAAAAGCACAGCCCCAGCGCAATTCAAAGAAGCAACCAAAATAAATTCAATCTCCGCAAACGATAATGACTGGCTATTTATATTTTTGCTAGTGTGTGTGTGTGTGCATCGCATCCTTTTCACATTCCATCTGCTCTAAATTCTCATTTATTTCGTACTGTTCCGTTTTTTAGTCTGCTTGCAGTGTGTTATACACTTTTTTCTTCGGTTTTTCGTTTGATTGTTCTATGCTGAATTTTCAACTCTTTTCCCTTTTCAAAAATTATTTCCGTAGTGCTGATGCTGTGGCTGGTATTATTGCTTTCTGCTTTTTTTTTGTTTCACAAATGAATATTTATCTGCTTGATACATTCAGTTGAGGTTTTCAAAACACCCCAAAATTGTCTGCAATGCTATTCAACCGACATTTTTTCCCTTCTTTGTATCTCGGTTACTGCACTTATTTCAAAGTGTACTGTGAACAAAACATGAAAAACATTTTAATATACATTTTACTTTTGTCTATTTCACTTTTTCTCTTTTTTTCTACTTTCTCTTTCTCTCTGTTCCTCGCATTTTCTCGCTTTCAATGTGCTTTTATGTCGCTTCACACATCTTTGTAACGAATACTATCTCTTTGAAAAAAAAAATCTCAATTTGGTCGCAAAATTCTCTTGATTTTTCTTCTGTACTTTTTCTCGTTGTGACTCTCGTGATGAGTATTGCTTCGCAATCATAATAATAGTAACTATTTAAATGACTACTGGAGCAAATGAAGCCAAAAAGTTGCTAAAACTTGGTAAGAAATCACAATTAATGAACTTTCATTTGGTTCACACCTAACAAAAACTGTGATTGTGCAGTGCAGCTCATGACAAAGTTGATGTTACATCACATTATTCGAGTGAGATTGGAAAATTCTGTATTTGAAATTGTCCAATTATCTTCTTCAATATCTCATTTAATGAAGACTTTTTAATTTGATTTCATTAAAAAAAAGTTCAAACGGTTTGAAATATTTTTCTCTTTCGAAATTTAACTTTATAATGAAAAAGGCGTGCGGATATTTTATCTCTCTGGAAGTGTCAATTGCAGGGTAATTGCTTGCATCAAAATATATTGATTGAAGTTTAATTGCTATGGTTTTTTCTTGTTCTATCAAGATAGAAAATTAGATGCGAAAACTAAGAAAATTAAATAAAACACATTTTTTACGTTATTTCAAATTGGTTTAGCCTTACAATGTAACAAATGAACGCATATGAATCATGTAGCTTGGAGCAGAAAATTTATGTAATCCGTACGTATATGTTATGAAGAGGCTATTGCATCATGCATAAACCTGAATGTTTCAGGGTATACTATTATTAATTCAGCATGATATATGTCGTTCATCATCGTTCATTCGTTGTCGGTCGTCGTTGTTGAACTGTGTATCTATGTGTGTGTGAATGACTTTGGTATTCAGCTGCATTCATTGTATGAGCTAATCAACTTTCAATGGTGCAAGTATGATGAGGGCTTTTCTCCTCTTCTCTCGCATAATAAACCAACTTTGGATCGAAAACTTTATTAGAATTTCCATTAAATTTTGAATGGCAGCATCGGTTCGTTGTGTCGATGTGTGTGTGTGAGAGAGAGAGAGAGGGACTAAGAGCAGTGAATATTGCAGCGAAAATTAGATTGGTTTTATTTTTGCAGGTATACATACGGAAAGCTGACAAAACAACGTGAAAGAGTGAAGGAGATAAAAAAACGCAGTGAGGGCAAGCGAGAATGGGTTATGTGTAATGGATCCGAATAAACGTAAATAATGTAATTCGTTTACAAAATGCAAAAACAGCATAACGCAATATACGTATATGAATTGATCGATGCTGATGAAATTGAAAAGCCTTCAGATTCATTTATGTGACAGTTGATAGAGATCTCTTATCAATGGCTTCGAATATAAAGCCAGTGTTTGATGCATTTTTCGAGGCTCATACCAAAAACAAACTTCCGCCAATTTGAGTGGATATGCAGATTATTTGAAGAAAAAAAAACACACACAGCAACTGACGCAATTTTTTTTTAATTAAATGGATATACCGTGTACGACACATGCCAATTCTGTGAAAATGACACTTGTAGGGGTGGCATTATGCGTGCAAATGATTTGCAATGAAAATGAATATTTCAGTGTATTGAATTGGATATTTGCGAGATGACGATACATGCGATAGCATAAATAAATTGAGCAACGAAAACATAATGAGAAAAAAATAACAATTTTTGAATAACACGCATTTCACTTGCAGACAGATTAATTAAAATGCATACGCATGAAAATAGGGAAAAACATAAAGCAAAAGTTGGGTTTATTTGATGAGTCTAGCCATCAAATTAAACTTTAAAATTTCCATGTTTATTTCGGAGCTATAGCCATGGCTATTGAAAATGTTTAATTAGTCTGATTTTCTACGCTGTAAATCGCGGATTATGATCGTACAATACGGAACAACTTACAACTTTTCAATACCTACTCATCAATAAGTTATGAGCTGACTGAAAAGATTCTAAGCAAAAAATCAAACAAACAAATGAATACATAGTTTGAAAGAAATTAACTCGTTGCGGACAATTAAAATTGGCTTATTGGTAAACTTTAATAAAACCAGTTGTTGGCGAGGATGAGGTTTCTCTTTACATCCTTTATTGTTGCCATTTAACTGGCATCAATTTCTTTGTGATTTGTTACTTTCTCGGTGATTTCCTTGGAATGGAAACCCGCACTGGTTTTCCAGACGTATTCTTTTCACAATAGTCTCTTTCGTTTCAACATTTTTGCTCTCAACTCAATGGTTTTAATCTTTTGAAGTGAAAAAGCTAAAGAGAATATGGCTCTTTGGTCTACCTCAACTGCCAACAAACAGAACTTCAAGAAAATGAAAGCGCTAAAGAGAGAAAAAAACTCATTATTTCTTCGAAATGAGTTTTACACTGTGTGATGATGAAAAGTTGAAGATTTTCCACTTTTCGTTCTATCCAACAAATTCGAAATTAAATGTTAAAATGTTTTAAACAATTGTTTCTCATAAACTGTCTTCTTGTTTGTTTTTCGTTGAAAATGCTCTCGCCAAAGAGTTGTTCGTCATGTTTCAAATTCTAAGAAATCTTGCGCATTTGTTGATGCATATATTTTTGAAAATGCATGGTATTTTGAACATTTTTATGTGGAAGGCCTTTATAACATATGAATAGTTTGTATTCGATTAACAATGCGTACAAGGATCGGAAGCAATTATTATAATTAAATAAACTTTAAAATAATAAAATTCTTGTAAATGAAAAAAAAAACTTCCTTTTCTTGGCGCAGACGAGTACATATTGTACGCATGATAAACAACTTATTCCTTCTGCAGTCATTTTGATAAAATTCTTTTCATAAAATTAAAACCTCATGCAAATATACGGAGAAAAAAGCAACATTTTCATTGTTAATCTTTTGTTCTTGTGTTACTTTCAACTCAATTAACAGATAGAATGCTAAAAATAGTGTGGGTACTTTCCAGCGTGTTTGCAACTTAAATACCGAGCAAGATAGATGGATGTGTAAATGTGTTGGAAAAAGTAATCTTGATTCCATACCCTGAACAATTGTTGTGCTTAAAATGCTTAGAATTGATACAGAGCAACAACATTAAGGCTTGGCTATAAACAGCAGAAACAAGAAAATAGAAAATATGAGTACAGAGTAAAACGATGAAAAAGAAAGCATATTGAAACACTTGAGTTTGACTATAAACTAGCGATGTGAAGTGGACCAAACAGAAACCGCACTGTCAACGCTATGAGCACACACACACACACACATCTGAATCTCAACAGTGGACGGCTTCTTTAAAAAGGCTTATGTTAAATGTATCGTACAAGTATGTGTGTAAACTTAATGTTATCGCTGTTCGGTGTATCTTTACGAAGAAAACTTCAAACGCATTCACTTTAAAAGCGGGACGACGGTTAGTTTCATGAGCACTTGATGCGTACTGCGGTGTATGCCATACACTGTATTGCTGAAACAGCAATTGAAATTGTAATTTCGACGGGGAGCATTAAATTTCAGTCAGAGTTGTAATGAAACTGAATATCTTTTTGAAAGTGCAATAAATTTAGTTTTGTGTTCGGCGCAACGTCTTTATGTGTTCGCTCGTGCAATGGATGTATTGAGAGATGTTTGTGTCGACAAGTAGATGGTTGATTCAACCATATTCTTTGATACTAAAATGTGCTCGAGTGTGTTTGTGTTCGGTACATATTTGAAAAACGGAAAACACAAACACACTTCAAAATTGAGCAAACTTCCTGATGTTAAACTCTCATATTTATTTAATGATGCACTGAACTTAACGAGAATTAGAAGAATGTTGGCCATTTGTGAGCTATCCAACCTGTCAACAAACACCACACTTCATCTGATTTATAGTGCGACAAGAATAAGCTGCAAAGAATCGTTCGAAACTGGATCCTTTTTTTGGGTGATACAAAAATTCAAATTATGCCTTGGTGCACAATTCGCGTGAGAAATGGCGCTTTTTTTCTTATAAATTTATGGACTTTTTTTTGTGTTATGAAGCTTAAATTTCTTACCTTGTTTTCATGATACCAAAATATGTGTCCGGGTGGCTCGGGACCAAAGCGAATCGTACACGTCAAATTTATCGTGCTTCCCTTATCAACAAACAGGTCGGATCCCCCCAAAATAGTTGCCGATGGCTCTGTAAAATAGATTAAGCGAAAATAACAATTTCTGACAGTTTCTTTTTTTCAAAAGAAAAAAGAAGAAAAATGCACTAAAAACAACCATTTGACTTTATTTAATTTGTGTGGTAGCATGCAATTTTATGTGAATCAACATTCCGTTAGTGAAAAATTGTTAGTCGACAAAAGCAACAAACCATGAACGATGCGATGGTTATTTTCTCTCTCATGTAACTCTTACAACTATATATTGGAATACATAAAACATTTCTACATTGGAAAATGCATGAGTTATCGTATAATCCGTCTGAAAATGCAATGCGCTAACCCGAATAACAGCACACTATCCAGACTTCTATGGAAGAGCCAAGCAATTCGATTACCAATTCAATCAATCATCTTATCCAATGTTTCCCATACATTTTCAAAACGGGGTTCGATGCTTTATTGGTTCTTTTCACTTTGGCAATACTTGATAACTCAACATCCATTTTTGTTTGAAATAAAGAGTAAAAACACCCCAAACAGGTATATGTTTAAAGTACACATATTTTTACTTATTCTCGCCCGCGCTTTATGACTAAACCATTCGAAATAAGTTTATCGAGATGAGATGTTTCCATTCACAATTCATTTTTATTTTGTTCGTCAAACGAGTACTGTTTATTCAACGAATATAATATGTAGAAAGACTTGCTCGTTGAAGTTCCGATTATTATTATTGGCTAAGGTAAGTATAAGTACCATACATATTTCTATGGCATTTTGACGAAGTTTATCTGACAAACTGGTCTTACCTTCTTTTCATCTGTATTCAATTTTTTTTTATGCCAGCAGAATATTTTATTGAATATCGCATTTTCATCATAACCGAATATCTAATTCAGAGATGCACGAAGTACAAAAACAACTGAAGCATTATAAACCTTTGCATCCTACAATGTGCGCCGTTGTTGCCCATCGTAAAATCTCTCATATTCGAAAATAAAAATGTTGATCCTGTGAAGAATGTTGTTTCGCAACAACGTTGGTTTACACTTTGCAAACGGAAAAAATATATCCAAACTAACCAGAACCATAAAACTCGATCGGAATACATAAATTTTATGCTTGAGATTCAATGGAGGGGGAGAACGAAACACACAAACTGAATCATAAAGACTTAAAGCGAATATTTGGAAGGATGCAAAACATTTTTTGTCACTTAAAAACAAAAAAAAAAGATGCTAATATAAAACGAGCAACAATTTATGATTTTTTTTTAAGTGACAATATGGGCGACAGGAACTACGTACACGGAAGTATAGAGCACACTATTCCGCAATAGCACAAAAAATACCTAATGGAAAATCGAAAATTCAATGGCCCATCAAAGCACAAAGATTCACATTTTATTTGTGCTTTTTATACGGTATGTTCACAATAAAATTTTGGGTTTTTTCGATCACTATTTGGTTTGAAATGAATTCTTTTCTTAATACGCTGTGTGAATACAAGTGGAAAAATAACTAGAAATATTTCAATGATACGCTTGATTTGGTGATTCAATTCACGTCCAAATTTGGAATATTTGATAAAATTGCAAGGAATTTGAACCATTTTTTCTCTCTTTCGAAGAGTCTTTTATGTATATCAATTCATTCCGCCTCAGTGTGTTAATAAACTATAAACTATTTAAAGATCTTGGACCGAAATTTCCAGTATACTTTTACATATAAATAAATGAACAATATTATTCGTGTTCGTCTGTGCAGAACAGTTGTCGCAAGTGCTTCGTCGTTGCCATAGTCCCGTGAAATTCCAATTCACCAAAAGTATACGATAAGTAATTAATTTTATTTTAGGAAATGTGCTGAACGTACCACATGAACATAGATAATCAAATTTAATTGAATTAAAGTTATGCGTGTGATGTCGTAATTAGGCGGGCCAATTGTCGACACACATTACGTAAAATGTATCGATCAAGATATTGTCTCTGAATCTCGGGTGTTGTGTTCCTCATAAATATCATGGTAACTACAATTTAACACATACTTGAACCTATTTCTCTCGATATATTCCTCGATAAGACATTCTATGAAAGCCATAAAGCCATCCAACCACATAGTTTCCGATGACTTAATATAGGTATTAATATTAATACAGACAAATCCATTCATAACATTTGGAAATTGCATTAAATAATTGAAATTTGTTATCGAAGCGTATTGAAATTAGTTTGAAGTGGTTTTCCGGCGTATCTAATCGTAACATTTCCTATTATGCTTCCAAATGTCTAAAATACCTTTTAAATGGTTATAACAAAAGAATGGAGACTTTACACCTCGACAAACTAAGCTGGATTTTCTATATCTTGCTAATGGATTTCATAATATTAATCTAATGGGTTAATTTGAGAGTGTTGAAAACAAAATTGATAATATAGTAATGGATTCGATTGCGTACAACAAACATTTGAAATTATTCATCTGTGGGTTGTCTGGTTGATTATTACATACCAACTAATTCACTATTCAATGAACTGAGAAAGGGGCAGCCGTGCTAAGTAATTGAATTTACTTAGAATTTGATATTATTTATGGCGTATTTTTCACACTCAAAACAAAACAAAACACACATTCAATGGATTGTATGTCCTTTGGAACTGACAGAGAGAAAAAATAATCAACATATAATTTTTGTTTGTAAAACAAAATAACCAGAATTCCTCGAAAACACATACGACATCACAGACATTCGAATGAAAATTTAATAGAAAGTTTGGAATTGCGCCCAAGTCTGAAATTGATATGTCAATATGCAAATGCAGCAATCCTATTTGGAAGTATTTCAATCGTTTGATGAGTTTGGAAATTTAATTAAATGTTTACATTTGGAGACAGACATCTTTTTTTTAAACCCAATAAAAAACACTTTGATGTAATTTTCCAAAAATAGAGATTATTACAAATCTACATATTTTCTGGATAAAAACGACAGAAAAGAGACATTTTACAAATGAAATCAGAAAGTTGTCAGGAAAGTAAATGCAAGTCAAAAAAAATCGACAATTTGAATGACTGCCAATGAATTGTGATGGATTGAAAATAAAGTGAATAAAAGAAAGTGAGACCGAGAGAAAAAAAGTGTTTCACATTGTTGCATGAGAGTAATTTTTCATTGACTTCGGTTTCCATTAATGTGGTTAGAGGTACAGCTCATCAAATTGCACAGGCAGCCCGTTCCAACAACAAAACATCAGAATATTTGCACGAGAATATTGTAGCATACACACATTTACGTGCGCCGCTTAAAGCACTGAAATTCATTATTCGTAATTTAGCTAATAGTGATAGCCTTGTGTGCATTGTGTGCAATTTAAGTTAATATTGCATGTCTGTGGTTCGATGGGTTGTGCGTTAATTTACAAACACAGGCTTACAAACACATATATACATTCGAATTTGTAGCGAAAGCACACTTTGGCATCAGCATTTAAATTGTAATGTAAAAGTTACCATGGTAAATACGGATAATTTGTTGCATTAAATTTTATATTGAGATATACAGTACGAGAGTGTGTGAGTGTAAGAGAGAAAACGAATAGCACATGCAGTTAGATGGATAAAAAAATACACAGGTAATTGCATAGTTAGCCGTAGGTTTTCGGAGAGAGTTTTTCCCCATTTGATGAGGCGAACCGCTTGTTGGTGATTATAAACGACTGTTTACACAGTGTCCAGTGTACACTTTTTTTTGTTGTAGAAAGACACACATACATACGCATACAAAGTATTGTTTGATGAACGAACATTGTTTGGGAACACCAATTTTGCAATTATTGCCACCACAATCACTCAAATTCAACATTCACATAGCGAAGCTTCAGTAACATACACGAACTCCCTAAAATACACTCTTTTTTTCGTTTGCCTCTTGCAACAATGTTAGTTTATAGGAAAACTCATTAAACGTAATTGCTAAATGCTCTCACGATCATAGCCACTATTTCCCGCGAATATACCATCGCAACACTTATGGTTACGGATGCTATTTATTTCATCATCGACATCGATTTGCTGATCATTGTACGCCAAATTCAATATATTCTCTAAATTATCGACGCTATCAACGTTTGGATCTAAAACACAAAAAAAAAACAACAAAATTATTTTAAAAAAATAACAAAATTAAATTAAAATTTTAAAATAACAAGGGAACCGAAACTAATGGAAGACGAAAAAAAACGCAAGGGAAATAAAATAACATAAAATTCTCAATGTACAGTATATTTAATGCTCTGCAACTTTTAATTATAACTTCACTAAATCACCAACGTGACCTGTGTGCAAGCATCATTTATTTCTATATGCTTATTTAAGAGCCGGTAATTGAATTAGTCTCATTTTAAAATCAATTCATTTCGGAGCGGAATTGAAACGATATGTGTGTATTATTTGGCCATCGACGGAGATAAAATGTAGTAGAAACGTTTCCGATGAATGCGGAAAACCAACGGAACTGATATATATTGACATCTACACTGATTGCAAATTACCCATGCTCTGGATAACCTCATGACATGCAGTGGATGTTACACTCACCTACAATATTCAATCTAATTGAAAAGCTTTTGATTGGAATCGTCGAAATTTGTGCTTCGTATAAGCCAGCATCACGTTTTTGTGCCCACTTGATTTGTAACGTCCACTCGTTTAGATCACGATGAAATGCTGTCTGAAATCGTTGATCTGTTGTATAGGTATACGTACCAACTGTAAGGATGTGCAAATCTCTATGCCGAATCCATGAAACCTAAAAAAAATTCAATGTTGATTATAATCATGTTAATTTTGCAGTAGAAAAGAACAATCAAAGTGATGTGCAATTAATTAAAAATCAAACTAAGAGAAAGATATGTGTGCAAATGACAGCACAATTCACAATGTGATATCGCAAACATTGTTCGTCGTTTTTTTTAAATTTTTTCGTTTAATATAGCCCACATTTTGACACGGGTAAATGGTCAAAAAAGCATGCAATGTATGCATAAAAATTGCAATCAGTGTCGAAATGTTAAAAGGCTTAGAGGTGAAAAATTTGTTTAAGCGGCGAATATGGTTTGAACCATAGGTGAAAGGACAAAAAAGTGCTATTACCGGGAAAAAAAACTGTGTGCCGACATTTTTTTTTCTCGCACATATATACCGCAAACGATAAACATTTATTTATTGTTAACATCGAAATGAACGTAAGCTAGTTTTAGCAATGGGAAAAACTCGACCATTATTCATGATTTTGATGTGAGGTCAACCACAGAGAACTATGTCATTCATGTTATTGCATAAATATTTATCTCAAATAGTTGGGCGGCGTGCATTTTTCCCATGCCCGTTTTTCGCGTCATAACTTCATATATATAAATTTTATCATGATGTAGTAGACAAACAATAACCGACCCAACCATAATTTGTAGCTCGGTTGAAATGAGCATGTATGCTTATTGTATATATTTGGTAATATGAATGATGCCATATTTTTTTTTTTCATTTAATAACGAGAAATATTCGCGTATTTATTTTGGTTCACGGTGGCACTGTGTATCTGACATCGCAAACAAATTACAAGAAAATTAAACCCGGTGCGTGTGTCATTTTGGCCATCGGAAGCGTAAAATTAGCAATTTTTGCAGGTGGATTTGACACGTCATTCAACTTGTTTGGAGTGGGCTCACAACATAAACACACGCACGCACACACGTGTCCATGAGTATCAATGATGATTAATTGTTCTGGCCGCCGATGCTTCTGATGCTGCATATTTGTCGTCGACGTCGTCATTCGCAACTATCGCAGTGAATATAAACAATTTATGGCTTTCAGTTTAATATGAATTTAAAATAAATGAGCTCTCAATGTTGGTATGTCATACAGTTTTTGTGTGCGAGTATGGATAAAAATGGATATGATTAATTCAGATTGGGTTTCGTTCATAATACACAAAGTAATTAAACGTAATCAAAAAAAGCACATATTTCAATCGCACACATACCACAGAATTCATGTTAAATTGCGGACCAAACATGATTAAGCCCGGACTTTTTGCACATTATTTTGTTTAAATTTTATTTAATCGTAATTAGTGTAATTTGTATTTCAATATTTTTGCTATCTTATCAGATTAATTATACAATTCGGAACTAGTTCTTTTTTTTCGCGATTGGAAAAGATGACGGGGTATGGGTCTGTATATATTGATGTCATTTAAAAGTGTCAAAAATACATATAATAATTACTTACAGTTTTATTGCCCAAATTGCGCACTCTACAGCTTAAATATGCCGATTTACCAACCAATGCGGTCACATTATTCGTTATGCTATCGTCGAAATACGGTTCGTTCATTTTCGGTGCCGTAATTGAATTTTGTGACGGAACATCGGTGCTTGTATCGTCAAATGTGTTGTAACCATCTTTGCCACGTTGGTGGAGATAGGAATTTGATACACCTGCAATTAAAAGAGAGAATTGTAGAAAAAAAACCTTAACAACAGTGAAACATAACTGGATAAAAACAATAAAATCAACTATTTAATTTTCGTTAGTTTTTGCCTACAATGATCGCCCCTTAGCACAACTATTCCAAAGTAATTATAACTTTTCTCATCTGTATCTTTTTTCGGCTTGATCTTTCCTTTTCTCTCTCACTATCTTCCTCTCTCTGTGTACGTCGTTGTTAAAATCCCGAAATTAGCATTTGTTTCATATTACATGCGAACAAAAGTAACATGCTTTTCTGTTTTGCATTTTCTTCGGAGGTGGTGGCTTTTTGCGCTTCGTCAAATTCATTTGTAACCATATATTCATCTGTGTAAACTATTTTCGTAAGTTCAGGTAATCAAAAACTATAATTGAGCGCACAGCGACAATTTGTACGTTGCACAAAATAGAACAAATAGAAGAGAATGCACTACGTGTTTAATACGTCATGGAAAACCAGAAATTTAAAAATGAGCGCGATGAGAGAAAACAATGCCCTGATGAATACAGAGAGAGAGAGAGAGAGAGAGAGAGAGAGAGAGAGAATATACACAAAACATTGCATCCTACTTGATCTCGTGACAAAAACTAAATATTTTCTGCTTTTTGTTTATGATTATCATGAGCTATAAATAACAATGGCAACGGCATCATCCATTTAATGCACACAAAATGTGCGAGTGCGAGCAGAGTGTGAGAGAAAAACCGAAGCAATAAAAAAAATATAAACAAGGAAACGAGAAAAGTTCAGTACAAACGATAGAGATGTGAGCGGTGAGCCCACTTTTTACTTGTGCAATATGACTGTGGCAGCATTTGAAAGAGCGAACGACAAAAACTTGTCACACAAAAATGTTAATTGTGTATTGTATACACACATAGACATACAATGAAAACAGACTCATCAATTTTTCTGTCTGTTTAGCCAGTTATTTTTTTCATAGCCTCTATTTTGCTTTATTTTTCCTGCGCTCCAAATTGAACCAACGAAAAAATGGATTGGGATGGAATTTCAAGAAAACGAAAATATTTTGAAAACAAATGTAGGTATTTTTAAAGGTATCACGATGATAATGCTTCGTTAATGCTGTGTTACATGGGTTGAATTGTGTTACAGGTCAATTAATACATCCAAACAAATGAGACATACGAGAGTTTCAAGACGAATAATATCATGTTCTTAGCACATTCGATCCAAATTTATTGATGTCATGGGATCAAATTCATCATTGTAAATTTCGAAATACATATAAACTGAATCCATTTGCCTTAATTACCAAAACAAATTGGCATATATCTATACACATTTGCTATTCAAATACAACTACGTTTCGACTGCATATTGTGATGGTAAAAGGAGTAAACGATGAATGATGAATCGCAATCAGAGAAGAATGTCATCAAATACACTCTAATCACGTAGCCATTTTGGCATAGATTTACAATCTGATCTGAATTGCTTGTAAAACATGCCAGAAACATATAAACCAAATGACCACAGGGAATTTTCAGATTTCGCGCGAGCGCACATTACCAACATTGTCTTAATCGCCAAATCTCTGTTTTCTTTTTCATTCATTTCATTCTTCAATAGCTAGCTAATCACATTTTCTCTATTCAACCAAATATTTTCAAATACATGTTGTTGTTGTTGTTGTTGTATTTGATCGAAACCTAAAAGACAAAACGTCCGGAAACTTTCGTTCTTTTCTCTCGTTGTGTATTTTCTCGTTTATGTCGCCACGACATTGTCGCGCGCGATTGGACTTGATTTAATCCGTATCGTAAGCATGCGACGAAGAAGAATGTAGACTGCGACAATAAGATACAAAGGTGACACCGACGATTCTGACATTTTGTGGCGACGAGCAAGATAAATAGAAAATATAATGAGTGTTGACACATTTTCATCGTGAACAAAATCACACTAACTATCGTTTAACCAATATACCTCATTACCTGTACAATGTCAACATGTGAGCGCGCGACGGCTCCTTTCTTCTTTTGTCTTCTCTGTATATTCGTCGTTACTTTCGCAGATCTTCAACTTTTGTACACATATTAACATCTACACGATTTTTATTTCGTGGTTATTTTTATAGATCAGACGATGGAACAGCGAGACTAAGCATCAAAATGGCATATAAATTGAATTAAGTGAACGATGTTTGCTTAATTCATAATTAATTTATTAGTCGAAACGTGAAGAAAATCGGGGCGATTGTTGGTAGTCTCATTTCTCCTCTACATTTTCCATCCCATTTACTTTTGCACTTTCATTAATTTCGAAATGCGGCAAGCAAGGGAGCAGCAGAAAAAAGAAGAAAATGAAAGAGGGACAAAACAATGAGCAAAGAATTGCGTTGATATGATGGGCAACGGCGGCGGTGTTGGCAAGATATGAATTCAGACAATTTTTTTTTCTTTTCACACTCTCTTTCTATATTCTCTACATGGGATTATGTATCGCCGGTGGCAAATGTCGCTCTTTTAATCAGTAGACGCGCCTAATTAGTGCTGACAACCCATCGAGTTCATCACGGCATTTGCCTCATCATGGTTTATTAAAGTGTCGCACAAGCAGCACACACTGTTGAACAAACTGCACGTACGCGATAGAATTAGCAAATCAGAGCACGATTTTTTTCCTTCGTTTTATTTGCCCTTTATTTGCTCAATGGTTTGCCTGTGATCGCGGCAGGGAAAAAATTAATTTCAATTTTTATTGCCGCACATACATAGTAACCACAACAATAAAAGTAGGGAAAAATAATCTCATATAAAAGAGAGGTGCAATTCTGATGAGTGAACGTGATATCATGCAGAAATCAATTTGAAATTCTTTAAACGTTTTTTTTTCATTTCTGAATGTTGACCGAACAATGCTTGCAAATAGAAAAATCCATGTTTCACATTCACAATCCACTTTCAATCAAATTCATTCTTCTTCGTATTGCATTGCCAGCTGATTCCGTTCAAATATAATTAGTCGGTGTGACACTCATATGCACAGAATATAAAATGTCATATATCACAGAAAATGAGAGGCAGAGAAAATTCTGTACAGTGAAAGTTATTTGTGTTCATAGTTTGTGTTATATTTTTATCTTCTTTGTGACTTTGTTTGTGGCCTTTAGGCTTATGACTCGGCTATTTAAGTCACAGACGCGAATACAACGCATAAAGTGTTCTTATGTGCGCGCGTTTGTTTTTCATTTTGCCGTTGTTCCGTCTGCCTAGCTTTCTCTCTCTCTCTCTCGTGCACTCTCTGTTTCTCTCGCATCCTCTGTTTTGAGTTTTTTTTCCATTGTAACGGTTGTCCGCGCTACAAATGTCATAAATTAAAAGGCGATATCATCGTGGCTTTGTTTTTGTCTTTTCCAAATGCTGTGTGAAAGCTGGCGCTGTGAAAATAAAAATTATTACAACACGTTGGTCGTACGCCAGTTATTTATCATTCAGTTTTTCTTCTACCTCTGCGTTTCACGGCGTTATTTAACTCTTTCACAAATGCCGCATTAACCACATTTACTCTTTCTTTTTCTCTTGTGCTCGCCCATATTTTTTTTGCCGTTTTTCTTCCTTTTATTCTCGTTGAAATTTTCCCAACACTGTTTTTCGCTACATCTCGTAATATTCTAAGTATTAGAATTTTTTGTTGATGGGGTTTTCACATCTATCAGTAGTGTGTTTACATTTGGTGTCGTTACGTTTTAGTGTTAGTGCTATATGGTAAAAACATATCGCATCATCGTTGGGTGTGCACTTACGCAAAACCAGAAAAAAAAACTCTTGCTTCACCAAATGACACTAGATATTTCAATGTTTTTTATGTTGCTATTAACAACTCTCAAAGCAAAATTAGTTGCCTGTGTGTGTGAGCAGACAATATATTTAGCTGCCGTCATCTGGATATTTCAGCTCATCTGGATGCCATCAGCAAATGATGCGAAGTGAAAACAATAGAAGTGATTGTTATAGTAATACCAGTATATAACAAGCTTATACAATCAATTCTATTGTTTTCACTTCGTATCATCTGCTGACGATATCCAGATGAGCTGAAATATCCAGATGACGACAGCTAAATATATTGTCTATGTGTGAGTGAGTGAAGTGCGCTCTGAGAATTGGAGCGACGCGTAGGTGCTTCGATTTGATCTCTTACAACAACCAAGACAAACCAACAACTAGCCATAAATTATGCTGTTTTTTTATAGTTTCAACTAATGACGATGTTCAATCATAATCAACATTTTAAACGCCTTTTATGTGTGACTAAATCACCACATCAAATCTTTAATATCAACGCATTATTTTCGATCAAGTTTTCAAACTCGCATTTTTTTTCGTCTTAATTTTTCATAATATTTTTACGATATAAACTTTTTCGTTATTATTAATTTTCATTGCAGTCTCGCTTTTTCTGACATGTCTTCTTCTTCTTTTTCCGAAATATATGTATGGATAGATATATCTGTCAACGAGTGCACTTTGATGTTGTTATTATCGTCAATTTTTCATTCCTTCAGAACCACAACGAGCTCGTTTAAAATCGATTTTCAAACAAGATGAAACCAAAAAAAAAAAAACTTTGTCATCACTATGAAAGCATAAACATAAAAAAGTTATCGTCGATTGAGACATCGACGAGAGTGAACGAAAAAAAATGTTCCCACAAGTATTAATAGTATTTTAGTATTTATGTGGTGCGTTGTTAAAAGTTGATTTATTTTTTAAATAAAATGAAATATATGTAATATTTTGACCAGGTTAATATCGATCATAATTCATACTATTTTCTTCACTTTTTCCCCCACTTTGTATGAATGTAAATCTTAAGACGATTATCGAATTTTCCTCCTCTTAACTAATTGAATACACTCAACTCGAACTTATTTAAAATTCAGTTAATTACACGATACTAAAAATGTTTATGGTGGTTATCTTTTGGTCACCACCGGTTCGC